TTTGTTAGGGATGGACTGTGGAGTCCGAGCGACAGTCAGAGTCATTAAAAGAATGGAATTTTAGGTATATTGATTAGCTATATCTTGTTGGTTGTTTTATGTTTTCACGTACGTGGCGTACGACCGTTCGGATCTTTATGTTGTTTAACCAACTTCTTGATGACGACCCACTGACATACAAGAGTGATCGGGAAGTCTGCGACCTTATCCCATTATTATTCTTTTTTTTTTTTGCCCGTTGAACCTAAAAGAAGTATATTGTAAACCAATGAAGGAGTTGTAGACTCAACTTGAAAATGTCCCTTCAATTGTAATTTGCCGAACAAATTTAGTATCTTGCATTTTACTTTCAGCTGGTATGATAACTGGACTTTGACGTGGGCAAAGCTAAAGAATTCCATCACTAGTAACAATTGAAGAGGCTAAATCGGTAAAGCCTTAATCCCTAAATTTTGATTTCTTAATGCTCCAATCTATTTGTCATTTTCTGGTTTTTCACATTTCTGCTCTCTGTCTATGCTACTAGCCTGCTATGGCATTTCTCAGATTTAGGACTAGCTTATGCTATGTTTGTATGTTCAGCATGAGCATATCCTAGAGATTACTATTTCAAAAGTGGTTACATATTCATAAATCCTAAATGATGGTTAATTCTTTTTTTATTCAGCATCATTTTTTAATGTGTCTTTTTTTTTTTTTTATCCTTAGAGACTGGTTGCTTCTGTTTAGTGTTCATTATGATTTGTTCATGTTGCTTGTCGTCAATCTTTACTCAATGCATCTGTAATCTGATGTTGCCTGTTTCTTCATCTAATTTTTTATTTTGGAAGGCATGAGTATATTTTGAAGTACTTGTATGTTGACATCTGGATTCTAGCTTTCTTCAGGAAGATCCAGAATTAACATATTAACATGATCCAATCTTCAACTTTCCCTCTTAGTTGAAAGTCCTCTTTTTTATTCATGTCACAGAAGTGCAATCAGGTATATGGCTCTGTAAGTTAAAGAGAAAAGAACTTGAAGTAGCATCATAAATCAATAACTGTAAATATAATAAGTGAAACGCCGTGGAGCTGTAGTAGCTTGTGATCAGAGTGACAACCTGTGGGCATGTTAGACCAGTGCCAAGTGTATTACCTAGTTGGTGGCTAGCAGGGTAGCTGTTGATGGACACTGGAGATTCTGTTTCACCTTTAACCAATACGTGGAGAAGGTTCATAGACTTATTGTCTGCTAGCATTTTTCTTGAGTAGAAGACTTGGACACATAATACTGCCTTATTTTGAATGGTTGTAACAATGATGTTCACAATTCGCTGGTCGCCTCTGATTATATGTGGTTAACATTTTATATTGGAGAATTTTCACTTGAGATAACGACTATTTAACTTGAATACACTACCTATGCGCATATTTGCACTTTCCAAGAAAACCCTATGCTTGTATATATAAAACTAAAGTACCAAAGCCATCAAGCTTGTAGCAGATACTTGAAAATGTTCGCGTATTTTTGGTTATATATGCAGTATTGCATCCCATCTGTGGAGTGGCACTGTTAGTATGCTAAATACCATAAGAACCAAGCTTGTTCCTGAAATATGGTATATATTGGAGAATTTTCACTTGGGATAACGGCTATTTAAGTTGAATACAATACCTATGCGCATATTTGCACTTTACAAGAAAACCCTACGCTTGTATATATAAAACTAAAGTACCAAAGCCATCAAGCTTGTAGCAGATACTTGAAAATGTTCGCGTATTTTTGGTTATATATGCAGTGTTGCATCCCATCTGTGGAGTGGCACTGTTAGTATGCTAAATACCATAAGAACCAAGCTTGTTCCTGAAATATGGTGTTATCTATACATCTTTGATGATATCTGCAGTGCCTTACCCAGCTTTAGGGTGTATCATTGGGGTGCTAAGAATCATAAGTAGTTGTGTGTGCGCCTGTGCGCCCGCACGCTTGTGTGAAATTGCATGAAGCTTCTCAGTCTTAGCAAGTTGTTGCTTTCTACATTTTTGCAGTCAAAGGGTCGGAAATAGTGCAAAGGATCCTAGTTCTGCACGGAAGATTCAGAAAGCTGATCGTGAAAAATTGAGGAGAGATCGACTAAATGAACAGTTTCTGGAGTTGGGAAAAGCCCTTGGTAAACTCATATTAAAGTTGCCTATTATAAGAGCTTTCTTAATGTGCATGAGAAGCAAACATGTATTTGCTGTTATAGTTATGTTTTATAAGCCTTTTAGAAAATTGTCCCATTCATGTAAGAGCTTTCATATTAAAGTTGCCTATTATAAGAGCTTCCTTAATCATAACTTTTGCTCCACAAGATCTCCCCAAAAAAAAAACAAACTAACAGCTTTTATAGAAAGTTTTGCTCTAATAACTGCAAATAACTAATTCTAGTAAATAAGCTGTTTTACACCAATCTTATATTTTCCAAGAAAAATTAAAAATATTTGATCAATAAAAATAGTAGTAGCATTCTACATTCCAACTATACTTGACATACCAAATTATTTTCTTTTTACTAATACATATCTGGAAGCTACATCAATTAGTATAAACTGTTTGGTAACTTCAATTTTAAATGAACTGAACCAATTAAGTTTCTGAAGCTGTATCATTTTATCCTAAAAATAAAAATGATAACGTTATCATATTTGAATTCTATTACTAAGTAGTTTCAGTAAATAACGTTTCATCTCTTGAAATTTTCAGATTCTTTATTGTACTTGTGGTTGTATGGATTCAGCTCATTGTGATTTGTGATTATAGTCTATTGAGTTTTTTGCATCAACCAATTTCCTTATACTCTACAATTTCACATTTGCCTGTGATGTAATTGCAGACCCAGATCGTCCCAAGAATGACAAAGCAACCATCCTTTCTGATACAATCCAAATGTTGAAGGACTTAACTACTCAAGTGAACAAACTGAAAACTGAGTATTCTTCCCTATCTGAAGAATCCCGTGAGGTAAACAAATAGTTACACATGGTAATGTGGAAAAGCATTTTATATAATTTCACTAAGTATTCCCTTACTTTATCAGTTTATCTTTCTGTAGTTGACACAGGAAAAGAATGAGCTCAGAGAAGAGAAAGCAACATTAAAATCTGAAATTGATAATCTAAATTCCCAATATCAGCAAAGACTCAGGTGTGTCTATCCTTGGGCTCCAGTGGATCCTTCAGTTGTTATGGGTCCTCCTCCATATCCATATCCAGTGCCAGTACCGATCCCTTCAGCCCCCATCCCAGTTCACCCAATGCAGCCATACCCTTTCTTTAGAAATCAGACTCCTGGCGCTTATGTGCCTTATACTTCCTCCACTGACCACTCATCCTCTCAAAACCTTCCTCATTCTCAACCAAATAGTAGATCTCAAACTTCTAGTCAACAAGATTCCAGAAGCAAGCCTTTGGATCTTCAACATCGTAATGGTTCAGAAAAGAGTGACGATTTTAGTGATGTTGTGACGGAATTGGAGCTCAAGACTCCTGGATCTGCGGGCATGTCTTCCCACTCAAAAGCAGCAAAAGATCAGGTTCATCTTTAATAAAGATTTGTAATTCCTATTTCATTGCGGATTTTGTGTGTGCGTGTGTGTGGACCGTTATTAGTTTGTTACTAACTGAACTTATCATTTGCCATTATTTTTAACAGGACTTGTCTTCTGAAGGGTGCAAAGGGAAGCAAAGGCCTCCACGTAGAAATAGTAGTGGTAACACTGAGAGGAGCAGTTCAAGCAGGTCTTCTTCCTCTTCTTCTGGTTTACCCGGGAGCTCTGGAGATGGATCAGTGGCAGACAACTAAATAACTTGACAGATGCGAAATCTGAGCAACCAAGATGATTTTAACTCCTGCTTCAAGTCTCCCTATGCAAAATGACCATCTAGGGAGCTAGTGAAACCATGGTGTAGTAGATTGTTCCCCATTATGATGGAAATACTCGAGCGCATAACAGAAAAACATCGAAGCAAAGGTTCAGTTTAACGCAGACTACTATACTAAACTGGCCATGTGTTCTAACTGATATAATCGTGTATGTATATAACAAAGAAATTGGTAGACAAGTCTGTTTTAATGTGTCACGCTTTGTTCAATAGGTGGTCTTACTCCCTTATAATTATTAATTGGTTTTACATATGCAGATTGGTGATGCATTTTCCTTTCATGTTTTTCGGTGGCTGCAATTGTCACAGCTTGTTGATTATTCTGTGATTGTAGTCTGTAACTTGTTATGGATGGGCTGAGCAAAAAACAAGTTATGGTTTGAAATGTGTACGACTATGTAAATGTGATTTTTTTTTTTTTTTTGCGAGCAGGTGACTTATATGTGAATTCGTACCTGTAATTCTGTTGGTTGTCATGAGTACTTGAAGCGATCACATTGGTGCGATGATAATCCTTAGGGCCTGTTTTGTTCATTTCTTGAAAGAATAGGAAATTACGCCTCGTTTGGTACGTGGGAATGAGTGGGAATGGAATGCAATTCTAACTTTTTATTTATGCGTACTAAATACAATGTATTTATAGATGCTATAGAACTGCTATTCTCACTTCTTATCAATTCCTACTTTATGTGGGAATTGTTATTTTCAATCATTTAACAAGGAATTGGTGTTCCCACTTAAGTGGGAATAAAAATAATCAAATATTTTTTTATTATACCCTTCTTAAAAGATACGAATAGATATAAATTCTCATATGAAAAATTATTTGTATAGAAATAATATCATTAGCTGCTCGTACAACTATATAAATAGATGTAAAATATTAAATATTATTCTTTGTTCGACTTTACCCTAGTTCCGTCACGTTTGCAATAGAAAAAAAAAATCTTGTTTTCGCCTGGACGTGACTCGGTTAAGTAACCATTATTTAATTTTAAAATATGTATGTGTGGCTAATCTTTACAGTAATTTTTTATCTTTTGGTGACTCGGTTGGGTAATCTATTGGCAATTAAGTTAGCAAATATTTTATTTATGTATGTATGATTTGAAGTTCCATTGAAGCATATATGCCTAATCTTTACAGTAATTTTTTCAAAGTACCCACAACAATAAATAATGTGCTTAATTGATGAGATTGGAACTTTATATTTTGATTAGAGGTTAACATGTTTTCTATTCCAATGTGCTTAATTGATGAGATTGGAACTTTATATTTTGATTAGAGGTTAACATGTTTTCTATTCCTTCAAACTTTCTAGGTTAACATGTTTTCTATTCCTAATCAATATTTTGAAAGTTAAAGGTGCATTTAAAAATTCATAGAAATTTTATATACAGACTAAAAGTTAACATGTTTTTTTAATCCTTCAAAATTTAGTGTTTGCATGCATGCATATGTAATTCAGTCATAAATCATGTAGCATGCATATAGAATTCAGTTTATTGTATACGTTTGTGCACAATGATGCTAGTAGCATTAGCTGCTTGTACAAGTAATAGACATGTAGCATTAGAAGTTAGAAAGGTGGAATTATAATTATTTATAATTAAAATAACTTCTATGAAAATTATTTTTCAATTAGTAAGCCAAAAGTCCAAAATTGTTGTTGAGGCGGTGTTCCAAAATATAACTATCAACTGAATAATTATTTCTATAAGAAAAAAAATATTATTTTTATAAATCTTATTTTTCTTAAAAATGAATTAATTAGTAATTTTTAAAATATTTTTATGTTTTTAAAATTTTGTGTTTTGTAAAGGAATTATTAGAAAACTAAAATTTATTCTCACTTGTGAACAAATGATACCAAATAAGGGAATGAGAATAAGATTGTCATTCTTGTTTCATTCTCTAAACGTGCCCAAACATGAGAATGGGAATGCACATTCTATTCCTACATCTATTCCATTCCAGTTGTATCTTCTTTCCATTCTCATTTGACTCTATTTTCACGTACCAAACGAGGCGTTAGTGTTTAGAAATCTTTTCCAAAGGTCTGCAAGTTTTTATTGGAGTACCTTTTTCCCCCTTTCTTGCTTTGGCTTTCAAGTAGGGTAGAAAGAAGTTCTCATGTTCATTCTTGCTCGTAGAAAAACCCTATTCTTTCCGATCCCATGGTTTTTCTATTAAATTTTGAGTTTTTTCTTTGATTTACATGTTTTTGTCTGAGGAACTGCGAAAAACGAGGAAAGATTCAATATTTAGGATTAAAATTGTTAGTTTAAAAGTATAAAGTGTTGATGATGGGTTATTTGAAAATGGGTGAAAGAAATTTAACCCTTTTGCTTTAATTAGTTCTCATGTTCGCTCTTGCTCATAGAAAAACCCTATTCTTTTCGATCCCATGATTTCTTTGTTAACTTTGACATTTTTTTCCTAATTTACATGTTTTTGTCTGGGTTAAAATTGTTAGTTTCAAAATATTGATGTTGTTAGTTTCAAAATATTGATGATGGGTATCTGAAAATTGGTGCAATTTTTTAAACTCTTTTGCTCTAGAAAACCAATTTACTTAGTTCTCATGTTCGTTCTAGCTCTAGAAAAACCCTATTCCTTCCAACCCCATAATTTCTACATAATTTCTCTATTAAATTTAGTGCCCCCCCTCCCCCAACCCAATTA